CTAGGTTACATTGCATTGTGTGTGCATCCCTTGCCTCTTGATCAATCATGATAGAGGTTGGGGCCCTTTATGTGTTTTGTGCATTTCATTCCATATTGAGTTGCACACTTGGCTTCTTTGGCCATCATGCATTGAAATGCGTGATTGATGGTCCGAGGGTCAAAAACCATACTCCTTTGAGTCTTAAACATGATAAGGGGGTGGTTGTGCAAACATTGCTTTGAAAATGTATTGCCATGCTCTGTTTGCCTTCCGCTGCAGCAAAACAGGATTCTGCAGGAAGAGATGGCCAGTCGGCCATCTTTAGTGCTGGCCGGCCATGTATTGTTGGCTGAGAGCTCCACTTATGGCCGATGACCATTTTCCAATGGCCAGTGGCCTTTCCTTTTGGCTGGTGACCTTTCATTTTGGACGGTGACCTTCCACAGTGCTCAGAAGGTGGTTCAGAAGCATCCTGGAGATTTGTACAATTTTTAGAAGTGCAGAGCAGTGTAGACAGAGGCAACATGAGTATGGCGATGAATTTCTAAGCGAAACTGAACATGCATGCATTTATCCCTCTTCTCAAGGCCTCTTTACTGCTTTCTTAGCTTAATTAATTCATTTAATTAGTTAAGTGTTGTGTAATAATTAATTAGCTTGTTAGTTAGTTAATTTGTATTATTCTTTCGGTCCCTCCGAGAGAGGGCAAATTGTGTAATAAGCGTACGTGTGTGTGATGCATGTCTTCTAACCCCACATCTTTCTCTCTTTTACTTACCTGCTTACAATGGTTAGTTTTAGGGCACGTTTCAATTAGCATACTTATGATAGCATGTTTGCACACATTCATTCGTATTGCATGCACTGGGCTCGGCGCATCATGCTAACTGCATTGTATTTCAATTCCAATTTGAATACATGTATCAAGTTGCATTTCACATGACATCTTAGAATAGCCGAGCCTATTTCTAGTTACATTTTGCATGTGTTGCATTATCCATCTTAACATGAACTAGGATCATGCATTTAATTACTAACTAGTTTCTGTTTTGGCTTGGAGTACTAGGTAAGCATTTACGCTTTAGCATCCTTACATGTGTGTGAGTGTTGCCATGACAGCATGCTTACCATGAGGCTATTTGCATATGTGATGTAACTGCCTGAATGCCTGTGGGTAAAGGTTGGATTGCTTGAATTGGGACAATTCATTGAAATCCGTATTTTAGCCTACTTGCAAGTAGTAAAACTCAAACCATTTTTCCGAACAAACGGATATGCAATGCTTTATTTCAAATTAGGGGATCTAGTCTATACTTGTTTTGCTGTGCGTATCACATAGTAACTCTAGCTAATAACCGGAATAAGAACACATGTGTTTTAAAAAACAAGATATCATGTTTAGTAATGGCCGATCTTTGATCGGGCGAGCGGGGGTGCTCATAGCTGACGTTCCCCAATCGTACCCAAGTTCTCGAGCCGAGGCAACTTTGGTGATGACGGACATGTGGCCTTAGGCAACGAGTCAGGGTTTCTTAAAATTTTCAAAAATAAAAATTTAGGTGGCAACTCTGTATCTAGCAAAATAGTCCATGTTTGACACTTCTTTCTAAAAATCAATTTTCCAAAACGATTTGCCGGATTTGGACTCTTTGGTGATTTATCAATCTCACATCGCACATTGTGAGATAAGATTAAGAACTGTGACATTTGAGTCCGAACTGTAGTGAGCCCAAATGAACAAAACATGATTCCCTCCCGGGACGTTCGGGGACATCTACAATACCACAGTGTCCTTAAAACAAATTAGCCGCCTCACCGTGGGTGCGGGAGGAACGTCAACTTCTCTTTCCTAGGATAAGATGGTTTAAACCAGCTAACTCAGAAGCACCTTCTGTTAGCTTTAGCGAACCGACAATGGCAGCATTCTTTCACAGTAAGAAATTTCTAGCAAACTGACTAAAGAATGGAAGAAACAATTTCTGTGAGGGTCTCAATTTATACGTGTATAGGGGAAAGAGGAGAAGCCTCCCGCTTTTATGGTTGATCACTAATGCACCACTAACCTCTACAATAAAGGCAGGAGTTACAAACCCCATTAATGCACTATTAAACTCTGTAATAAAGGCAGAAGTTACGAACTCCATTAACTCTTTCACGAAGCTAACTTCATTGGGGCAATTTATCATTCAATTCTCAATGGCTTTTTGGCCATTCTATTTGTGGTGTAAAGATCTCATTGCAAAGTATCTAGACCCATTTGGACCCAACACAATAGATGGTTGAGACCCATTTTAATATTTAATTAAAGTCACCAAAAATTCATTTTTTCCAACATTATTTTCAAAGCCTTGGAAACTTTTTGCGGGATGCGAGCCTGTGAATAGGGTTACAAATAAATTGAACTATTCGCGAGCTGAGAATTCAGCTCAGCTCGTTTAGTAAAGGAGTCGAGTTCGAGTTCGAATTTAAATTCAAATATTTGACTCATTTAGTAAATAAGTTGAGCTCGAACTCAAATAACCTCGACTTATTTATTTTTATTTAAATTATATAATAAATATATTATATATATTATTTAAATAATATAAATAATAATAAAAAATCTTATAGCGCAAAACTCGAATTTCATTAATATTAACGAGACCAAAATTTTAAGCCTAGTTAGTTATCAAGCAAAGTTTGAGCTTAATAAACGAACTTGAGAAGCAAGGTAGCGTTTGGTAACATTTACGTTTTTTGTTTATGTTTACAAAAATTTTATAAACTAGTTTTTGTTTATTTTTAGAATAATATAAACTGCAAACGCGTTTGGTTTGAACAAAATGTTTGAAAATTTTTAAAAACATAAACTAAAAAATATATTTGTTCAGGTCTAAAATATTTATATTTATTTTTCATTATTTATGACAATGGGATCATAAACATTATAATTGAAAAAAAATTAATTAAAAAAATTTAATTGAAAAAAAAATAATTGGGAAAAAAAAATTATTAGTTAAATTTTTAAGGGGAAATTACAAAAAAAAATCCCAAGGTTTCGTGTGTTTTTTTAAATTAAACTCCATAGTTTCAATTTTGACAAATTAAACTCTGAAATTTCTTCCGCATTTCAATGTGAACCATCCATCTATATCCGTTTGATTGAACTAATGGAATCTGAGCAAAATTATCAGATTCAAGTATACATGTTTAAACACTTGTATCTTTCTCGTCGTAACTCCGTTTTGTTTCATTTTTGCGTCGTTGGATTCACCTCATTGCCTTATTTTCATTCCATCCCTCACACTCTTTGTTTCACCTCTTTTTGCATGCCGTTGGAACTCCAAAATTTGGAAAAAATAAGATTTTTTTCTCTTTGGTCAAAATTTTTAGATTCAAACACACATGTTCAAGCACTTGTACCGCCTTTGTCGTAATTTCGTTTTGTCTCATTTTTGCGTTTTTTGATTCAACTCATGGCTTAGTTTTCGTTTCACCCCTCATGAGCCTTGTTCCACTTCTTTTTGCATACTGTCGGAGCTCCAAAAGTTGGCCAAAAATAAGATTTTTCTTTCTTTGGAATTTTTTGTCATATTCAAACTCACATATTCAAACACTTGTATCTCCCTCATCGTAATTTCGTTTCATCTCATTTTTGCTCTATTGGATTCACCTCATGGCCTAGTTTTCATTTCACTCCTCATGCACCTTATTCCAACTCTTTTTACATGCCGTTAAAGCTCCAAAAGTTGGCAAATTTTTTTTTCCTCCTCTATTTTTAATCTCCATACTTCTTCCTTCCTACTTTCTTTCCACAATTATTCTTTTTTTTCCTTTTCTTTCATGGCCCTTCCACCGAGCTCGTGGTGGCCACCGAACCTCCAATGGTGGTGGTGTCGTCCGGTATGAATGTATATGACTTACAAGAATAGAAAGAAACATAAGAGTGGAAGAAGGGCCATGAAGGAAGAGGAAAATAGAGAATAATTGTGGAAATGAAGAAGAAAGGAAGAAGTACGGAGATATAAGATAGACAAAAAAAAAAGAGATTTTTTAAAAAAAATCTTGGCCAACTTTTGGAGCTCGACAACACGTAAAAAGAGGTGGAACAATGTGTATCAGAGGGTAGAAAGAAAATTAGGCTATGAGATGAATCCAATAACGCAAAAATTAAGTAAAACAGAGTTACGACGAATGAGATACAAGTGTTTGAATATGTGTGTTTGAATATGAAAATTTTACCTAAAGAGAGAAAAATCTTATTTTTGGCTAACTTTCGGAGTTCTAACGGCACATAAAAAAAGGTGGAACAAGGCGTATGAAGGATAGAATGAAAACTAGGTAATAAGGTGAATCCAACAATGCAAAAATGAGGCGAAACGAAGTTACGACGAGAAAGATACAAGTGTTTTGATATATGTGTTTGAATTTGAGAATTTTGTCCAGATTCCGTTAGTTTAATCAAACGAATATAGACCTTCACATTGAAATACGAAAGAAACTTTAAGATTTAATTTGTCAAAATTGAAATTATGGGTTTTAATTTGAAAAACAATACGAAAGAAACTTTAAGATTTAATTTGTCAAAATTGAAATTATGGGTTTTAATTTGAAAAACATTCGAAACCTTTTGGTTTTTTTTTTTTCTGTAATTTTCCTAATTTTTAAATTTCTGTTTAAAACTAACGTAAACTCATTTTTTGAATTTATATATATATTTTTAAATTTATAAACTGAGATAACTATTTATAGATTAAAAAAATTATCAAATTAAAAATTAAATTTACGTTTTTATAATAATTTTTAAAATTTTTATAAATATAAATTAAAAATTAAAAACGAAATGATTACTAAAATGCCGAACGGAATTCAAACTCAACAAAGCTTGCTAATTTGCAATCCTACCCATGAGACAGCGATGAGGTGCACCTACTAAGCCTATAACCATAAGCCACGTACTCAAACTAAATTACGTCACACACAGCCTAAAATAAACCCCTACTATAAAACAAATATCTCATTAGAAACCAACCGCCTTGTCTGCCTGAATAAAACGCGAATCTGCCCCACGCACTCTCTCTCTCTCTCTCTCTCTCATCATCTCGAAAGCGAAAAACCGACTGCGAAAACAATTCACTCAAAAAAACGGATCCAAATCAACAAAAATCATCATCAATAACAGAAAACCCTAACCCTAGCCGCGACTCTCCTCCTCCTCATTCTCTCTCTCTCTCTGTTTCGTATGATTTGCCCTAGGGTTCGAAGAATAGTAATAGGGCTAGGGTTTGCGGTGATGGAATGCAGGGGTGGTGGTGGTGGTGGTGACTGGCGATGACCGGAGTCCAATGTCACCGGCGGAGGAAGATGATGGGTAGGGGTGCGGACGGAGGTTGCGGCACCGAGGAGAAGATTTGCCCAATTTCTAGGGTTCCGGCCACATTTCCGGCGAAGGAAAATGTAACACTTGAGAAACAAACACCCATAGGCATAGATTGCTATACGCAGGCTCGGAAAGCGCTGTGTGAGCGTTCGCCATTCGATACTGAGGATGCTCAGGTATCTACTATCTCCACTCTTCCTAGTGGGTTGGCTAATTTCTTGTCAAGGCATTCAGATGGGCGGAAGCGGCAAAAGAAGTTACATTCGGGTGTGGAGACGAAGGCCAAGTCCTCGAGGGCAGGTGCGGCAGAGAAGGGTCGTGGATCGAAGAACATTTGGTCTGAGACTGAGGAGTATTTCAGGGAATTGACGGTAGATGATATTGACAAGTTGCATGAGTTGTCTTCTTTTGTTTTTTCAGCTAGTCAGAAGTGTTTTTCAATTCCAGTTTTGAGTAATGCGTTTCGGGATAGCGAGGGAAATGGTGACATTGCCAATGAGGGGAATGTTGTGAATGTTGTGAATGCAAATGGGGTTGGTTTTGATTGTGGGGTGGTTGTTGACGAGGAGGCTAAGGAGGAGGTTGAGCAGTTCATGAAAATTGATAGTGTAGGAGCTAACGTTTTGGTTCAAGAAGAAAAGGGTTGCTCTTCTTCATCGCAAATGGCAATGTCGTGTAGTGGTTTAGAGTGGCTTTTAGGTTCTAGGAGTAAGATATACCTCACCTCAGAGAGGCCTTCAAAGAAACGGAAGCTTTTGGGTGGGGATGCAGGTTTAGAGAAGCTTATTGTTGCAAGTCCGGTTGATGGGTTGTCATCTTTGTGCCACTATTGTAGCTTGGGTGACACAGGCAATCAGTTGAACCGTTTAATTGTTTGCAGTTCTTGTAATGTATCAGTTCATCAGAGGTGCTATGGTGTGCAGGACAATGTAGCCGATTCTTGGTTGTGTTCTTGGTGTAACCAGAGGAATGCACTCCAAAGCTCTGACAGATCTTGTTTGCTGTGCCCAAAACGGGGTGGTGCTTTAAAACCTGTCAGTAAGAAAGGTGTTGGAAGTGAAAATGGTGGCTCCATGGAGTTTGTTCACTTGTTTTGTTGTCAATGGATGCCTGAAGTCTACATAAAAGATACAAGAACAATGGAACCTGTTATGAATATTGAGGGAATAAAGGAAACAAGGAGAAAATTGGTTTGTTTTTTATGCAAGGTGAAGTGTGGTGCCTGTGTTCGGTGCAGTAATGGTATGTCTGTTGCTTCCTTATTTATGCTGCTATGCATTTCTTTGTTGGATGGTTTGCCAGGAGAGCATCTAATAGTTGGAATACGTGGTTGTTGTAAATCAATAGCTTTCAGACTGAATCATATTTAACCTTGCGTGGAGTGTATGGTGTTGACGGTTCTGTATTGTGACATTTGTGTACATATCATAATTGATTCAATATAGTTTCTCTCTGACCAATTGAAGAATGTTGTGTCTTCTGTGCTTCTATAAGCTGTATTTGTAACTGCATAGACACTGAGGATAAATAAGCGAAGTTAATTTAAAAGAATTAAGCAAAATTGATTCATGTTTGATTCAACACCCGAAATTCCCATGACTACAATTTTATGATCTGTTAAGAGATTCTTTTGTGGATTAGTATGTAAACAGCCTTTTGAAAAGAATTAAAGGTTCTTTTAAAGCCTCTTGCTTTTTTTGTTATAGGTGCTGTTGTTTTATTTGCTTTAGATGATCTAATTTTAGTTTTTATCATAGTTCTATATATGTTTAGTAGTCTGCTTTGAAAAAAAAGAGTTGCAAAGTGTGTAGCACTTTTGTGTTTGCTTGGCAGTTGGGATATTGTTGTGCTTCTCTTTTTGTTGTCACCCATGGTTGGCTCGAGAGTTAAGATCTTTGCCAGTTCTTTTGTTTGGTGTTGGTTGGGTTTTGCCTTGGAGGATTGATGAACTACTTTACTCTCGGAGATGAGCTTGAGTTAGGATGAGGAGCAGGAACACTGGGTTCTTGGTTCCTTGGCCTTGATGTGAATGGTGTGGGCCAGAACAATGAGAGAGTTTTTTATGGAAAAGAAGACTAAAAAGTAGATTTTTTATAGTTGGTATTATGGGAGAAGCTTGCTATCTTTGGATAACCTCATTGATTTTGTAGATTCTTTACACTAGTAATGAATCCTTGACTTTTGTATGCAGTGTGTATAGATTTTGTTTTGATGTTTTTTGGAGCTTATCAAGGCTTAACCTCCTTTTTTTTTTTTTTTTTTTTTTTTTCTTCTGAAATCGTGGTTACGAACCACATTTTTTTCTAAGTGAAATTTGATTACTTGTATAAAAAAAGAGAGTAGATTTTGTCTTTCCTGTGTAGTTGGAGTAGATTTTGTCTTTCTTGTGTAGTTGGTTTTTTTGGGGTTGTTAATCCATCATTAAGCTAGTTTTTGACGTTGCAAAGGCCTTTGAATAGGTTTTTGATGTATAGTTGAGATAAATTTTCTTTGTATACGGGTTGCACTAAGTTTCCAAGGGGGAGCGGGAGAGCGTCAATTTACAAAAGTCATGGAGTTGAGAGTGTCTCGACAGCGTCTATATTATACAATTTTTATTATTAAATATTTTAATATAAACATGGCATTATATTATTAAAGTATTTATCAAAATTTTTTTTTTTATATAAGTATTTATATTATACGTTTTTTATATTAATGTTTATGTTTTGTGATTTTATATTAATGCTCTGTTTGTTTGGGTAGAAAAAAATTTCTACGGAAAACTTTTTCCAGAAAATGTTTTCCAAAGAAAACCTTTTTCTATGTTTGGTGGTGGTGGAACGAAAGTGTAGGTGGTGGCATGGTGGTAGGGGGACAATTGCGGTGATGGTGGCCGTGATGGTGGCCGTGATGGTGGTGTGGTGGTGGAGGTGAGAGAGGGTGGTGGTGGTGGTGATGGTGTCGTGACATTGGTAAAAATTTTAGTCTAGAAAATGTTTTCCGCCTTCAAAAGTGGAACACAATTTCTGCCAAAGTAGGCTTGTTTTCCATGGAAATTATTTTCCGTTGATTTTCGTTTTTTGCCTAAACAAATGGAGTGTAAGTGTTTATAATAACATTATAGGTTAAGAAGGTTATCGAGTGAGCAATTGGCTCAACGGCAACTTATTGTAATGTAATGATTATTGAAGAGATTGTACTGGTGATGGGTTCAAGACACGATAGTGGTGACCATTAACCTTATATTCATTTGTCATCAACTACACGTGTCCTGTACTTCCAGAAATGGATCCATTAATTGAGTTCAGTGAGTTCGTGAATTTAGCCCGTTTTCACTCAAGAGTCCTTGATCCGAGCGCCGATTCATGATCTGCCACCCCTAGGGGACAAATTAGGTGACTTAACTCCCCCCCTCCCCCGGTTGCCTCATTTTTCGTATAAGTGCACTTATTTGGGTCATATCAATTAATATCTTCTTTTTACTTTTCTACACATCTTTTTATAAAAAGTCAAAAAGTGCACTTATTTAAAAATTTCAAACCAACCCTAATTTATCAGAAAATATTAAGCCTTGTTTGTCATAACCTAAAAAAGTCAAAAAATCACTATCCTATTTAAGTCACATCATCTTATTTAAGTCACACCACCTTTCTACCACATCACTTCAATCCAACTCATACTCAACTCATATTTCATAAAAAAGTAAAAAAGTACACTTATTTAGATTATCCCAAACCACCCCTTATTTAAGCCATATTATGACATGCATAACCTTTTCTCTTTTGGCAATGAGAGTAAATGGTTTGTATACTTGGATGGTTCACTATTAATGCCATCTTTAGTAAAGTTTATATACTTATTAAAAATGGGAAGAAAAGGCTGGCTACGCCAATGGCAAATAAAGCAGATTTACCTTTCATCCCATGCTAGCTGATTAAGCTTGGTTGAATGGTTCATACTTTGCTAAATTTGTCAAGAACTTTGGTGAATGAGATGGGGAGCTAAAATGTCTCAAGGACTTGGTAATTTAGTCCCCTCAAAGAATTTAGTGTGTATTCATTAGATGGTGTCAGAAGGGGTGCAAAGCCGAATACAGGTTGTAGACAGTATGAAAGTTAAATTATTATAAAGCAGGAACATAAGAATCTAAATTTCCTGACAAAATCCAAAAATGGTTCAGTGAATGATGAATCTTTCATTTAAGCAAATGAAGTAAGATCACCTTATATGAACTTCCATGTTATGCATAGGCTCCTCCTTCTTCCAAATGATTGCTGGTTATGTTCCCTCCAAATACCCTTCATAAGGCAGATGAAGCTGTAGACCATGCTTTTGGGAATCGTACCTCACATTGCAAGCAGAGCCACCACCGACCTCGGAGAGATTGATGAAGTACTAAATACTGTATGAAGAATACAACACTATATCTGGACTCAAAATTCCTAGTGGTTTTGAGTATTTGTTTAAAGTCATTGCTTAGAATATGCCACGTTTGTTCCTTTATGTTCTTCTTCTTCTTCTTCTTCTTCTTCTTGTTTCTTCTTTTGGTTGTTGTTGATGGTTTTGGGAAGTAGTTAGTTTTCAAGCTTTGAAGTAGATTTGGGAAGATGGTGACATAATTAGAGCATCAGCTAGAGAAAGTTGGGTTACTTTCTTGTTTTCACCTTATAAGACATCTTTAGGGACCAAACCAAAGTAAGCCTTGGTTTTAGCATTTCGTCTATAACATTGTTACTCTTCATGTAGCTGAGAAAAAAAAATGAAATAGTTCTTAGAAAATGCCAAATAGACTGCCAATTGTTGTTATTATTGTTGCTGATCTTGCAAATAATAGCATATTATTTTGTGTACGTCATTTAGGAGATATGCACATAGTTTTAAATTATTGTAGGTCATCTCTCTGAACCAAGGGCCATTTTTTTTCCTTTTTCCATGAATGGAACTTCCTTCTCATCATTGTATTATAGTTAAACTCTACCAATTGTCTGGGCTCGGCTAACCCCATTAGTATCCTCGTACATGAAATTTATCAATATTCTTAATGGAATGTTTGCTGTGTTGTCTGTTTGGCTACTAATTTTCAAATCTCTCCTCTAGTATATTACACAGGATTTTCCAGAATCCTCTACCCTGTTCTTAAAGTCAATTGTGATTACTCCTTTTTGGTTCTATCCAAGTTTCTTTTCATGGGCTGTTCAGTGTGTGGTAATGATGCTTCTACTGGTAACATGCGATTTGTTTTTGTTTATGTTTTAGGAACTTGCAGAACTTCATTCCATCCTATATGTGCCAGGGAGGCAAAGCACCGAATGGAGATTTGGGGAAAATTTGGATGTGATGATGTAAGCCTTCCTATTTGTTTGTTTGAATTAGAATGAGTAAATTATTATTTTTTTCTTTTAGTGTTATTCATTATTATTTTTTCTTTAGTGTTATTATTATTATTTTTATGTTCTTGGCTTTATATTATCATATAGGTTGAGTTACGAGCCTTTTGCTCAAAGCACTCAGAAGTCCATAATGGTAGTAGCACCCAACAATCGGGAAACTTGTCTATTGCAAGTGGCTCTGATTCATACATTACCAATCATCAACCAGTGGCACCAACAGCAAACAAACCTCACAAGTTCAAGATTGGCAGAAAAAATGGAGACAGGATCACTGTCCACATTGAAACAACTGATACTAATATCAATAAGCTGGGCAATAGTGTGCTACATGTAGAAGGATTGTCAGATACCAGATTAAATTCTAAACTTAAGTCTGAATGTGGCAATACTCAGGAACCTGCTAGTACAGAGACATTGGACAGGAGTACCAATGAAGAAGGATTGTCAGATACCAGATTAAATTCTAAACTTAAGTCTGAATGTGGCAATACTCAGGAACCTGCTAGTACAGAGACATTGGACAGGAGTACCAATGAAGAAGGATTGTCAGATACCAGATTAAATTCTAAACTTAAGTCTGAATGTGGCAATACTCAGGAACCTGCTAGTACAGAGACATTGGACAGGAGTACCAATGAAGAAGGATTGTCAGATACCAGATTAAATTCTAAACTTAAGTCTGAATGTGGCAATACTCAGGAACCTGCTAGTACAGAGACATTGGACAGGAGTACCAATGAAGAAGGATTGTCAGATACCAGATTAAATTCTAAACTTAAGTCTGGTCTCGCTAACCGGAATCAAATGTCGGGACAGTTTATGGGGTCATGTCGGACCGTTGTAGATGTTGCACCCTCAAAAGGTGTGCCCAAAGTTGTCAAAAAAGCGTGCCATCAAAAGGCGTGCCCACTTTATCAAAAGATGTGCCATGAAAAGGCGTGCCAGTTTGTCGGGCGTCAAGAGGCGCGCGATGCGCGTGGCTGCCTCGGCTATAAGACAGAGGCTGAGGCTGAGGCAGAGAAAGGCTGAAAAAACCTCCGAAAAAAAACTTCGTTGTGCTGAGAGAGAGAGTCTGAAAAACTCTTCGTGGTGCTGAGAGAGAGAGTCTGGAACACTCTGTTGCCCAGAAAATGGCGTCATCGTCTTCCCGTGGGCTGCTCACCCTCTTTCCCGACCTCAACGAGTCAACGAGAGAGAGAACTGGTGCGGTGGCACTGGAAACTCCACCAAGCGCCCCGGAGTTTTCTCCGTTGAACTTTCCGATGCGGTCTGTGGAGCAAAGAATGGCAGTGCAAACGGATGTGGAGGCCAATCAGTATACTCTGAAGGCATGTGTGGAAAGCATGACGGCGGTCACAAACCTGTCGAACCGGCTGCAGAGTAGGACAAATGAGGTGCAGCATTTAAACTCCCAGCTGGCTCTGCTCCAACGCATGTATAAGGATGCGCGAGCAGAGATAAGCGTGCTAAGGGCAGAAAACAAGGGGCTGAAACGGAAGGCCACCGTGATGTTCCGTTTTGGAGGTCCGCCATATGCTGCAGTGGAGGAGTATGGGGGAGTGAACGTGCTCGGTGGACAAGGAAGTGCCGAGGTAGCACCGTCAAGAACTGCCCAGGATGGAGGCAAGAAGAAGAGACCTGCAGAGTAAAGAAGAAAAATCCCACTGGTCCGATTTATGTTGGTTTTTTTTTGTTTTTTTTTTTGTGTAAAATGGTGATCGGGGTGAGCCCCGACATGAATAAAATAAGTTGGTGTGCAGTTCGGCTTCTTCCTCTTATTTTTTTTTTTTCTTTTTTGTTGTTTTTTGTTTTTTGTTTTTTTTTTTAAATAAAATAAAAATCAAATAAAATAAAATTAAGAAAGTAAGAAAAAGGATGGAGATGATTAAAGGGAGCATAGTGGAGAGAAAAAGGGACCACAGAGAGAGGGAGTGGTGGATAAGAAAGTAAGAAATTTTTTGTTTTTTTTTTTTTTTTTTTTTTTTTTTTTTAAAATATGCTGTCCGCCAGATAGACCCAGAGGAGAAAGCACCCCTTTTAACCAATAATAATAATGCTGTCTGCCAGATAGACCCAGAGGAGAAATCACTCCTTTTAACCAATAATAATAACTTCAATAGCCACCCACAGTACCTCAACTTCGCTTGAAGTGCGGGTTATGATAAAAAAAAGAAAAAGAGGCCTTTCTCTCCCTAACCTCTCTCCCCCCCAAACCGAGAGAGAGAGAGCGAGAGTGGTCGGATTGACGCAGAGCAGTGGAGGGCGACTTCGGCGGCGGCGTGCTCGGCCGGGCGAAGGTGGAGAAGGCGGCGCGGCTCCGGTAACGGCGACTCTGTTAACAGCGGCGCCGCTCTTAGGAGTGGCCGAGGGAGACTGGCTGGGAGTGGCCGAGGGAGACGGAACGGGAGTGGAGGCGATCGACGACGGGGTGGGAGTCGAGGCCGGGGCGGGGGGAGATGAATTCGTTCCATTGCCACAGTGCGTTGGCGCCGATGCCGTGGATGAGGAGGAGGGTGGGTTTGTTGGATTTGTGGGATTTGGGGTGCCAGAAATGGAAGAGGGTGCCGTCGCCGAGATCGGTGGTGCTGGATTGGAGACCGGCGTTGCCGAAGGAGTACCTGTACAACCAATCTTGCAAGGTCGTCAGGCTAATACACTTGACCATGATGGGTACCGTATAGCAGAGAGAGATAGCGAGAGAGGGGGAGTGAAGGTATGTGTAAAAAATTCCAGCGGGCAGCAATGGCAAAGTTGCCGGCCGGCTGCCCGCCGGTGACAAAGAAATACAGGCTTAAATCTTATAGCTCTGATACCATGTTAAAATTGAAGTATTATTGGTTGATTGTATTGATGTTGTGTTTATTCTGTTTACAATGATTCATATATAGAAGAGAAGAAGGTAGTAGGTGAAGGGGTAGTGGAGGTGGTAGGTGGAGTGAGTGTTAGTGGAGGTGGTAGGTGGAGTGGGTTATGGTAAATTCTAACAGAGCCAGGTTCTCTCCTTGCAGCTTCATACTTGCGCTCGTCCTTGCAGGTCTTCGGGTCTACTTTTAGGCCCAATTTTAATAATCCGAACCGTTCATATTTTATGATTTATTTAGTATATCATACCTGTAAAAAATCAAGTTGATCGGATATCAGAAAGCATATGTTCGGAAAACTGTTTATTAAATTCTTTAAAAAATAGTTTTTAGTTCAATTTTTCGAACACATACTTTCTGATATCCGATCAACTTGATTTTTTACAGGTATGATATACTGAATAAATCATAAAATATGAACGGTTCAGATTATCAAAATTGGGTCTAAAAGTAGACCCGAAGGCCTGTAAGGATGGGTGCAAGCACAGGAACTGCAAGGAGAGGATCCTCATTCAATTATATACAACTGCTACAAAAAGTTCAATACTCTCTCCGTCCCAAAATAATAGTCCTTTTTGGGAAATCTAACTTTTTTTGGTAGTACAATTATTGCATTTGAAAAAAGTTGATTTTCCAAAATTATCCTTTTGATAGTACATTTTTAGACATTGGACAGGAGTACCAATGAAGAAGGATTGTCAGATACCAGATTAAATTCTAAACTTAAGTCTGAATGTGGCAATACTCAGGAACCTGCTAGTACAGAGACATTGGACAGGAGTACCAATGAAGAAGGATTGTCAGATACCAGATTAAATTCTAAACTTAAGTCTGAATGTGGCAATACTCAGGAACCTGCTAGTACAGAGACATTGGACAGGAGTACCAATGAAGAAGGATTGTCAGATACCAGATTAAATTCTAAACTTAAGTCTGAATGTGGCAATACTCAGGAACCTGCTAGTACAGAGACATTGGACAGGAGTACCAATGAAGAAGGATTGTCAGATACCAGATTAAATTCTAAACTTAAGTCTGAATGTGGCAATACTCAGGAACCTGCTAGTACAGAGACATTGGACAGGAGTACCAATGAAGAAGGATTGTCAGATACCAGATTAAATTCTAAACTTAAGTCTGAATGTGGCAATACTCAGGAACCTGCTAGTACAGAGACATTGGACAGGAGTATCAATGATGATGTTAACACATCTCACACTCTGGATTTTACTGTGATTCTAAAGAAGGTAGACTAATAACTGCATATATTTTATTACTTTGTACATGGAGATTCATAAGTGGACGTTTGCCATTTCTGCAGCTAATTGATCGAGGAAAAGTCAATGTGAAGGATGTGGCCTCAGAGATTGGCATTTCATCTGATTCATTGGCTTCAATGCTTGCTGTAATGCTCAATTTTAACTGTCCATGCATGTCGTTAGTATTTGATCATGATAGTTTATGCTATACATGCCAACAACACGTATGCATGTATGTATGTATGTATTAGTTTTAGTTGCAACTTATTTTCATTGTGGTTTTGATTTCACAGGATGATTGTTTGGTCCCTGACTTGCGTTGCAAAATAGTCACATGGCTTAGAAGTCATGCTTATATAGGTACTTTACATAAAAATTTGAAAATCAAAATTAAATCCTTGCTTACATCCAAGGATGATATGGGGGCTGCTGAAGATTCTAATGCTGTCATGGTATCAGAGTCGGATATACCTGATGTTCTTCCTGTAAAGTCAGTACCACCACGGAGAAGAACCAAAAGCAACATTAGGATTTTGAAGGATAACAAAGTGATCTGTTCATCTAAGGAAACAACTAGTGATGGAATAGTAATGAATGAGGCTAAAAGTGGGCAATTGATCAGTGAAGATGCAGATTATTCAAGTAAAGAATCTGTTTCTGATGTCACCGAGAAGGTAATTCCATTATTAAAAAATTACTGTTCTTTTCGTTTTTCTTGGCATACTTTGTAGATCATTCTGCTGGCATACTTTGTAGATTAAAGTATGCTGATTTGCTTCTTGAAGAGTAAAACAATTGAAATTTTATTAAAGCTTTGATTGACATACCTTGTTTGGCAAAACTTATATGGTAACTTTATGAATTTTTAGATTATTGGCTTAAAATGCTTTGAATAAGTTGTGAAAAAGTTTGGTGCAACTTTTGGATAACATGTGAAAAAGTTGAAACTGTTTGGCAAATAATCCAAAAAGTAGTTTTTTAAAGTGTAAAATCCAAAATACCCATAGCCATGTTTGTCAAATTGGGATATGAGTGATTGTCAAATTGGGATATGAGTCGAGTATCATTTTTCTATGTTTTTGAATTGCGTATCATGTTTTATTGTATATCTTAAGATAACATATTTTAAAATAGGTGGAAAAATAAATATAGTTAGCAAAACACAAATATCCTGTGAGATCATGACACCAAATAATATATAATCCTTAAAATTGCAAAAGGTTCCTTGAAAGATAAAATGCATATAAATATGTATAATTCTCAGTATTTGATGAGTATAAAATGCAGGATGGAGTTAAAATATGTCTAAAATACTGACTTAACTAATGATTTAGGTATTAATATTTAATTTATAGCTTTAAGTTCTCAAAGAGCTTGTTCATAATAGAAAAGTTTGAACTTTAACTGGTGTAAGTTGGTCTAAATCAATTGCACAAGAAACTTAATACCAGACTAGATAATTAGATATTTGTCAATTTTTTTTTTTCTTTTTAAAAAAAGAGTACCATTCTCATCTTAAAAATATTCCTTTTAACGAGTTAATGAAAATTTCTAATAATATTAATTTAAATAAAATAAGTTTAATTAATGTTTCTCAAAATTGCTAAAGAAATTTAAGTATTCATGTATCATATGTATCGTAAGATACATTTAACTTAAGACACGCATTGATGATATGCATGATTTCTCTCTTAAAATATGGAATCGTAGGATATTGACAACACTGCCCATAGCTTTTTTTAAACCTAACTATTTTTTAAGGGTAATGGCATGGAACTAAATACTATTTACTCTTGTAACGGAAATCTAACCTACCGAGTCTGATACAACCCAATATATTGGCGTGAACCGACATCACAGGTGATCCAACTGGTTTGACTTATGAACCAGCTGGTATCCGATAAACAGCACAAGCCTTCAGCAAACTGGACTGGTGCACCAAAAACTGCTGAATAAATTTGAACTGTTTGGGCAACTAACATGGCTTAACACAAGCCGCATGGAAACCTTACTTTGTCTACGAGATGTGAGATTTCATTTTATAGTTGGTGGTATATTTCCTTGTTAGTTCTCCCACCGATGTCGGATATTCGGATGAAGTGCTAATTTTCAAAGAAAGAAAGAAGTATTTGTACTTTGAGAGATGCTTCAAGGTTGTGGTAGCCAACCAATGTGGGATTATAGTATAAACCTTGATTTTTGTTAATCGTTTTATTGTTTAGGATGTAAGTGGATTTTCATTTATTAAAGCAATTGATGTAAATGTGTTTAGAAAGTAAAAAAATTTATGTATGCTTCAATTTTAGAGAGTTGTGAACTTTTTTAAAATTTCATGGCAACACTAATTCCGATACATAATGCTTGATACTCCCGATACCATTATAGTGCGACTGATACTGATTCATATGCCAATACTATTATTTAGAATCATGGGTTACACCCATAATTATGGCCTTGTTTGGGAATTGGGTTTTTGGCTTTTAGGTTAAAATCTACAAAAAGACGAAATAGGCTAAAATAGCCAATAAGACAAAATGTCATATCCAATCTATAATCATTTTGCTTTTTCTCTCACAAACCTCACATCCAACTATAAAAAAATCTAACCATCTTCCCAAACACACAAATTTTAGCCTATTAAAATCCACAAACTAAAATAGCCTATTAAAATAGCCAACTTCCAAATGAGATGTATGAAAATACTGAGGGACCTTTTACCTAAGGTCCAAAAGCTAAAAAAGTTAATATGGAAAAGCACCCCTCAGGTAGTGTGGAAAAAGCTAGCTTTGTTTGCTAAAAATAAGCTGTTTATTTGTACAAGTTGTATGAAAAAACCTTCCACCGGGCTTTTTATAGTCCACATAAGTTTGGGGATAGGCTACTTTAGCGTAAAAGCCAAAAAGCCTCTACAAGCTTTTTAAAGCTATACTCCTCATAAGTTTGGGGATAGGCTATTTGAGCTAAAAGCCAAAAAGCCTCTACAAGTTGTTACATCATTCTTTCTACTTTTTTTGCACATCTTTTCATAAAAATCCAAAAACCAACTAGAATAGTCAATTCTCAAACCACCCTTATTGATGTTCACTCTCTCTCTCTCTAATGTATATAATATATATATATATATATATATTTTACAATTGGTAAAATGCAATAGGGAACGGCCCGTCCTTTACAATTGGTAAAATTCCCAAACCACCTTTCTTCTGTCTTTGCCTCTTTGGTCTGTCCTTTATGTGTGGCCAAGGTTTTAAAAAGCGGCTGCAACCGTTACGTAACGGTTTTGGCGGTTACCGCCACCTGTTACGGCCGCTTTTGCCATGTGATTGAGATTCACAGGTGTGTCGGCCGTAGCGGTCGTAACGGCGGCACCGTTACGTAACTGTTCCAAACTGTTTCTTTTGAAAAAACACACAAAAAAAAAGCTGAAAATGGGGGAAGAGGGATAGAAGAGGGAAGATAAAGAGAGAAAATAGAGGAGCAAGAGATAGAGAGAGAGATGAGGGAAGATGAAGATTATGTTATTGATTTGTTGAAACTGTAAGACCTATGCTATTCTATTCAGCTGCTATCACTAAACCATTTTGTTTGTGTGTCTATCTATATATTGTTTGAAAATAATAATAATAATAAGTCTGGTCATTATCTATTTGGCTTGGTTAAAATATGTATATATATATATATTTAGGTTCTTATTTATTCTCTTACTTTTGTCATTATTTATCTTATATATAATAGTTAGCGATTGATTTTTGTATAACATAAAGTCATTAATTATTAAAATAAAATGTAAAAAACTCAATTTATAGTGATTTAAAAATATGAAATATATTGGATCATACTTAAAAATTTACAAAAATTGATCAATATTTATTTTTAACCCAATAAATATGATCATGGAAAAAAAATATGCATATCGGTAAGTTTTTTTCAAATTGTACGAAAAATAAAAAATTCACGGTTCCGGTTACCGCAACCGCAATTGCAACCGCGTCACCGCCACCGTTACGGCGATTGCAACCGCTTTTCAGAACCTTGTGTGTGGCCATTTCAATGTGGTATTTTTTGTTAGTGGTTTTTTCTTATTATAGTGAATTTTGTTCTTATTTGGGAAAAGGTTCTTTATTTCTTCTGTTGTAGACTTGTACTTAAAGAATTTCTTTTTCTTCTAGATTCTTGAGGCAGTTATGACCAAGGTTGTTAAAATCAGGATCCTAAGTAGGATCGGTGAGAGGGTCTGGTGGATCGGATTGTAAGATCGGATCGAGGATCATAAGATCCTACTTTCTGTTAAAAAAAAAGATAAAAACTAAAATTAAAATGATACATATTAAAAATAAGGTGAAAAATCATAAAATCTACGATCCTACATGCGATCCTACCTACGATCCCATGCGATCCTACACGATCTCATGCGATCCTACACGATCTTACTTGCGATCTTGTTATAATATCGATCCTACAACGATCTGGATTGTTTTGGCAAAGTAGGATCGTACGATCCGGATCGCGATTTTAACAACCATGGTTATGACCTTATGAGGTACCTGTCTTTTTATTAAATGTATTCTCCCTCTGCCAGAATTGTTTCCACCTACCCATACTCTGGGATTAGAAATCATGTATGGCGCTATCTGTTAGATTCTGTCAGAAGGAAAAATATTGATAAAAATTGTAATATTCTTTTGACTTTAATTGTTGTTTTTTTTGAAAAGAACAAAAGCATTCTGCAATTGCAATGCTAGCCCTTATAGTTATGTGCTGAATATTATACATTCTCAATGATGGGTTATGATCACAAAAGTCATCAGGATAATCTTATATAGAGTTGTATGGATTTAATTTTTTTTTCCTTTACTGTAAGAAGGGGTCATATGGGTCATATCTGTCTATGTAGTGTTTATATTGATAGTTTGATGGGCAAGACCTAAATGTACACTGGTATTGCATGTCTCCTGAATTGTTTGGTCTTTGGGTAGAGGCATACTTTACTAGATTGTCTTTGCCTATGATGTGAAATCATTGAACTTCATTGTTGAAGTGTGTTTATAAGATTGATATGCTATCTTTTCTCATGCCCATTCTTGGTAGCTCTACTCTATGTTTATTAGCTAGGAAGCACGGATACGGATATGGGATACTGTAGAAATTTGATGTATAAAGAGAAATAGAGAATTGTATTATTTTGAAACAACTGATACTAATATCAATAAGCTGGGCAATAGTGTGCTACATGTAGAAGGATTGTCAGATACCAGATTAAATTCTAAACTTAAGTCTGAATGTGGCAATACTCAGGAACCTGCTAGTACAGAGACATTGGACAGGAGTACCAATGAAGAAGGATTGTCAGATACCAGATTAAATTCTAAACTTAAGTCTGAATGTGGCAATACTCAGGAACCTGCTAGTACAGAGACATTGGACAGGAGTACCAATGAAGAAGGATTGTCAGATACCAGATTAAATTCTAAACTTAAGTCTGAATGTGGCAATACTCAGGAACCTGCTAGTACAGAGACATTGGACAGGAGTACCAATGAAGAAGGATTGTCAGATACCAGATTAAATTCTAAACTTAAGTCTGAATGTGGCAATACTCAGGAACCTGCTAGTACAGAGACATTGGACAGGAGTACCAATGAAGAAGGATTGTCAGATACCAGATTAAATTCTAAACTTAAGTCTGAATGTGGCAATACTCAGGAACCTGCTAGTACAGAGACATTGGACAGGAGTATCAATGATGATGTTAACACATCTCACACTCTGGATTTTACTGTGATTCTAAAGAAGGTAGACTAATAACTGCATAGATTTTATTACTTTGTACATGGAGATTCATAAGTGGACGTTTGCCATTTCTGCAGCTAATTGATCGAGGAAAAGTCAATGTGAAGGATGTGGCCTCAGAGATTGGCATTTCATCTGATTCATTGGCTTCAATGCTTGCTGTAATGCTCAATTTTAACTGTCCATGCATGTCGTTAGTATTTGATCATGATAGTTTATGCTATACATGCCAACAACACGTATGCATATATGTATGTATTAGTTTTACTTGCAACTTATTTTCATTGTGGTTTTGATTTCACAGGATGATTGTTTGGTCCCTGACTTGCGTTGCAAAATAGTCACATGGCTTAGAAGTCATGCTTATATAGGTACTTTACATAAAAATTTGAAAATCAAAATTAAATCCTTGCTTACATCCAAGGATGATATGGGGGCTGCTGAAGATTCTAATGCTGTCATGGTATCAGAGTCGGATATACCTGATGTTCTTCCTGTAAAGTCAGTACCACCACGGAGAAGAACCAAAAGCAACATTAGGATTTTGAAGGATAACAAAGTGATCTGTTCATCTAAGGAAACAACTAGTGATGGAATAGTAATGAATGAGGCTAAAAGTGGGCAATTGATCAGTGAAGATGCAGATTATTCAAGTAAAGAATCTGTTTCTGATGTCACCGAGAAGGTAATTCCATTATTAAAAAATTACTGTTCTTTTCGTTTTTCTTGGCATACTTTGTAGATCATTCTGCTGGCATACTTTGTAGATTAAAGTATGCTGATTTGCTTCTTGAAGAGTAAAACAATTGAAATTTTATTAAAGCTTTGATTGACATACCTTGTTTGGCAAAACTTATATGGTAACTTTATGAATTTTTAGATTATTGGCTTAAAATGCTTTGAATAAGTTGTGAAAAAGTTTGGTGCAACTTTTGGATAACATGTGAAAAAGTTGAAACTGTTTGGCAAATAATCCAAAAAGTAGTTTTTTAAAGTGTAAAATCCAAAATACCCATAGCCATGTTTGTCAAATTGGGATATGAGTGATTGTCAAATTGGGATATGAGTCGAGTATCATTTTTCTATGTTTTTGAATTGCGTATCATGTTTTATTGTATATCTTAAGATAACATATTTTAAAATAGGTGGAAAAATAAATATAGTTAGCAAAACACAAATATCCTGTGAGATCATGACACCAAATAATATATAATCCTTAAAATTGCAAAAGGTTCCTTGAAAGATAAAATGCATATAAATATGTATAATTCTCAGTATTTGATGAGTATAAAATGCAGGATGGAGTTAAAATATGTCTAAAATACTGACTTAACTAATGATTTAGGTATTAATATTTAATTTATAGCTTTAAGTTCTCAAAGAGCTTGTTCATAATAGAAAAGTTTGAACTTTAACTGGTGTAAGTTGGTCTAAATCAATTGCACAAGAAACTTAATACCAGACTAGATAATTAGATATTTGTCAATTTTTTTTTTTCTTTTTAAAAAAAGAGTACCATTCTCATCTTAAAAATATTCCTTTTAACGAGTTAATGAAAATTTCTAATAATATTAATTTAAATAAAATAAGTTTAATTAATGTTTCTCAAAATTGCTAAAGAAATTTAAGTATTCATGTATCATATGTATCGTAAGATACATTTAACTTAAGACACGCATTGATGATATGCATGATTTCTCTCTTAAAATATGGAATCGTAGGATATTGACAACACTGCCCATAGCTTTTTTTAAACCTAACTATTTTTTAAGGGTAATGGCATGGAACTAAATACTATTTACTCTTGTAACGGAAATCTAACCTACCGAGTCTGATACAACCCAATATATTGGCGTGAACCGACATCACAGGTGATCCAACTGGTTTGACTTATGAACCAGCTGGTATCCGATAAACAGCACAAGCCTTCAGCAAACTGGACTGGTGCACCAAAAACTGCTGAATAAATTTGAACTGTTTGGGCAACTAACATGGCTTAACACAAGCCGCATGGAAACCTTACTTTGTCTACGAGATGTGAGATTTCATTTTATAGTTGGTGGTATATTTCCTTGTTAGTTCTCCCACCGATGTCGGATATTCGGATGAAGTGCTAATTTTCAAAGAAAGAAAGAAGTATTTGTACTTTGAGAGATGCTTCAAGGTTGTGGTAGCCAACCAATGTGGGATTATAGTATAAACCTTGATTTTTGTTAATCGTTTTATTGTTTAGGATGTAAGTGGATTTTCATTTATTAAAGCAATTGATGTAAATGTGTTTAGAAAGTAAAAAAATTTATGTATGCTTCAATTTTAGAGAGTTGTGAACTTTTTTAAAATTTCATGGCAACACTAATTCCGATACATAATGCTTGATACTCCCGATACCATTATAGTGCGACTGATACTGATTCATATGCCAATACTATTATTTAGAATCATGGGTTACACCCATAATTATGGCCTTGTTTGGGAATTGGGTTTTTGGCTTTTAGGTTAAAATCTACAAAAAGACGAAATAGGCTAAAATAGCCAATAAGACAAAATGTCATATCCAATCTATAATCATTTTGCTTTTTCTCTCACAAACCTCACATCCAACTATAAAAAAATCTAACCATCTTCCCAAACACACAAATTTTAGCCTATTAAAATCCACAAACTAAAATAGCCTATTAAAATAGCCAACTTCCAAATGAGATGTATGAAAATACTGAGGGACCTTTTACCTAAGGTCCAAAAGCTAAAAAAGTTAATATGGAAAAGCACCCCTCAGGTAGTGTGGAAAAAGCTAGCTTTGTTTGCTAAAAATAAGCTGTTTATTTGTACAAGTTGTATGAAAAAACCTTCCACCGGGCTTTTTAAAGCTATAGTCCACATAAGTTTGGGGATAGGCTACTTTAGCGTAAAAGCCAAAAAGCCTTTACAAGCTTTAAAGCTATACTCCTCATAAGTTTGGGGATAGGCTATTTGAGCTAAAAGCCAAAAAGCCTCTACAAGTTGTTACATCATTCTTTTTACTTTTTTGCACATCTTTTCATAAAAAGCCAAAAACCAACTAGAATAGTCAATTCTCAAACCACCCTTATTGATGTTCTCTCTCTCTCTCTAATGTATATAATATATATATATATATATATATATTACAATTGGTAAAATGCAATAGGGAACGGCCCGTCCTTTGCCCGTCCTTTACAATTGGTAAAATTCCCAAACCACCCTTCTTCTGTCTTTGCCTCTTTGGTCTGTCCTTTATGTGTGGCCAAGGTTTTAAAAAGCGGCCGCAACCGTTACGTGACGGTTTTGGCGGTTACCGCCACCCGTTACGGCCTTTTTTGCAATGTGATTGAGATTCACAGGTGTGTCGGCCGTAGCGGTCGTAACGGTGCCGTAACAGCCGTAATGACCTGTTACGCACCGTTGCGTAACGGTTCCAAACTGTTTCTTTTGAAAAAACACACAAAAAAAAAACTGAAAATGGGGGAAGAGGGATAGAAGAGGAAAGATAAAGAGAGAAAATAGAGGAGCAAGAGATAGAGATAGAGAGAGAGAAGAGGGAAGATGAAGATCATGTTATTGATTTGTTGAAACTGTAAGACTTATGCTATTCTATTCAGCTGCTATCACTAAACTATTTTGTTTGTGTGTGTCTATCTATATATTGTTTGAAAATAATAATAATAATAATAATAAGTGTGGTCATTATCTATTTGGCTTGGTTAAAATATATATATATATATATTTAGATTCTTATTTATTCTCTTACTTTTGTCATTATTTATTTTATATATAATAGTTAGTGATTGATTTTTGTATAACATAAAGTCATTAATTATTAAAATAAAATGTAAAAAACTCAATTTATAGTGATTTAAAAATATGAAATATATTGGATCATACTTAAAAATTTACAAAAATTGATCAATATTTATTTTTAACCCAATAAATATGATCATGGAAAAAAAATATGCATATCGGTAAGTTTTTTTCAGATTGTACGAAAAATAAAAAAATTCACGGTTCCGGTTACCACAACCGTTACATTACGGCCTTTACACCCCGCAACCTTAACCGCGTCACAGCCACCATTACGGCGACTGCAACCGCTTTTCAGAACCTTGTGTGTGGCCATTTCAATGTGGTATTTTCTGTTAGTGGTTTTTTCTTATTATAGTGAATTTTGTTCTTATTTGGGAAAAGGTTCTTTATTTCTTCAGTTGTAGACTTGTAGTTAAAGAATTTCTTTTTCTTCTAGATTTTTGAGCCAATTATGACCAAGGTTGTTAAAATTAGATCCTAAGTAGGATCGGTGAGAGGGTCTGGTGGATTGGATCGTAGGATCGGATCGAGGATCGTAAGATCCTACTTTCTATTATAAAAAAAGATAAAAACTAAAATTAAAATGATATATATTAAAAATAAGGTGAAAAACCATAAAATCTACGATCCTACTTGCGATCCTACCACGATCCCATGCGATCCTACACGATCCCATGCGATCCTACACGATCCTACTTGCGATCTTGTTATAACATCGATCTTACAACGATCTGGATCGTTTTGGCAAAGTAGGATCGTACGATCCTACGATCCGGATCGCGATTTTAACAACCATGGTTATGACCTTATGAGGTACCTGTCTTTTTATTAAATGTATTCTCCCTCTGCCAGAATTGTTTCCACCTACCCATACTCTGGGATTAGAAATCATGTATGGCGCTATCTGTTAGATTCTGTCAGAAGGAAAAGTATTGATAAAAATTGTAATATTCTTTTGACTTTAATTGTTGTTTTTTTTTGAAAAGAACAAAAGCATTCTGCAATTGCAATGCTAGCCCTTATAGTTATGCGCTGAGTATTATACATTCTCAATGATGGGTTATGATCACAAAAGTCATCAGGATAATCTTATATAGAGTTGTATGGATTTAATTTTTTTTGCCTTTCCTGTAAGAAGGGGTCATATGGGTCATATCTGTCTATGTAGTGTTTATATTGATAGTTTGATGGGCAACACCTAAATGTACACTGGTATTGCACGTCTCCTGAATTGTTTGGTCTTTGGGTAAAGGCATACTTTACTAGATTGTCTTTGCCTATGATGTGAAATCATTGAACTTGATTGCTGAAGTGTGTTTATAAGATTGATATGCTATCTTTTCTCATGCCCATTCTTGGTAGCTCTACTCTATGTTTATTAGTGCTCTTTAAGTTCATTTCCATTTTTTTTTTTTGGCATTACATGATCACATTGGCTAACAGCTTAGAAGCTACATCTTGAACTTTAAATTATGGTTTGGTCCATCAATTACATATTGAATTTCAGCTCAATTATTATTGGTCTAAGTAGTTGAAATGCCTTTGTTAGCAAAAACAATATGGTCCTATAGGTTTCCCATGTGTCTTGGCGGTGGTTATTGTTTACATTACACATGGTGCATTTGTTGCCGATCAAAAAAGAAAGAAACAAATAAATACGAGGTGCAAATTTTCTAGGTTAATGTACTATTGTTCATAGTTGTCAAATCGGGATTCGTATCGTGAATCGAAATGGCCTTATACCGAATCGCGAATCGAATCGAATCGAATCGTGAATCGTAAAGATTTAGTCACTTTTTCTAAATTACTTAAAAATATATATCTACACATTTAGATGTTAAATATATCTTATGAATATAAAATATTTAGACTTAAATCAATGAAAATGTTATTTTGAATAATAATCACGTAGTTTAATAGGTAAGAAGTTAACAAAGGTTCCTATGTAAGATCACCATATTACATTTTTCCTTTTTTAGATATTTCTTATCAACCATTCTTAATAAAGATGTAATATCACCATCTTGCCTTTTTTCTTTTTTAGATATTTCTTATCAGCCATTCTTAATAAAGATAGTAACCAAATAGACAAATTATCAATTTCCAAAGTAACAATAATTAACAACAATGTTGATATTTAGACAATAAGCATATATACTTTTCTAAGTAACAGTGAGCAAATAATAAGAAGGAATTATTTAAAATCTTTTATTTTAAAGCCTAAAACATTTTAAAAAGTATAATTAACCTCACACATGTAATATTCAATTTAATAAAATAGTAATAGATAATTTATAGTGTAACTTTAATCTTAAATATCTTTATAACATAAATTATGATTTTTTAAAAGAAAAAAAAATTGAGAAGAAAGGTTAAAAATATGTTGGGTCTGATTGAATCTAGTTGGATCCTATTGAAAACTCCATGATCGTTAAAAAAACAATAAATCATGTATATATGTTGGTTATTTTGGTATTAAACGCTATTAAAAGTTGTATTATGCCATTTTCACTAAAAAAATGGAGAAAAAAGAGTCGAAAATATGTTGGACACAATAATTTCAAAAGTTGCATGAATCGTAAAAAGTGAATCGAATCGTGAATCGATTGTGAATCGTGCGATTCACTAGAGATTCACTTCCAAAATAGATTCACCAATAGATTCGTATCGATTTTGTAAAAATTGCGAATCGAATCGTGAATTGAATCGTGAATCGTAAGATTCTGATAACAGAGCTATTGTTACTATTTTAGCTGAATTAGTTTCTAGTCCTTTTTTTTGTGGGATTTTTGGTTGAACAATCAGTAAACTGAATGATCATGTCCCTGTTATGCACAGTGGTATAGAACAAGAAAATGAACTGTATTCAAACTTCAGCATCAAGTGTTACAAATTCTGCAAGGGCAATCAGAATTTTCATAGACTGCCCTAAATGGTTTGGACAAAGGCTTTGGAATTGTAGTTCCCATAAGGAACTAGACATGTAACTATTGCTTGAAGAGCTATCTCATTTTTTTGGATAAATAATTGCTTGAAGAGATATCTCAACTAATTTTAGTTATTTCATGCTTGTTTATTGTGACACTGGCGACGATGTTACTCAAAGCATCTGTTAGTTGTCCTAAAGGAGGGGGGTGGGGGAAATCAAATGAGGGCTTTTGGGACATGGTTCATATTTTTTGGAAGTAGCTTTGTTTATTTATTATTAAATTTATTAAATTAAGCATGGCAGTGAATCTTTCCCCAAGCTAAAACTCTTCGAGGCTTGTACCTGAGTTGTGAAGTACCTGAACCTTTTCTAAATGCGCAACAAGCTACCTCTTTTACTACTATACTCTTTTTATGATCACTGCTGCTGTGAACTTAATCTCCTACTTTGGTCGCCAAGTACCAGCTGCAGTGCTTCTACATTGCTGCCATTATGTTTGTCACGTTCATGGCTATTGCAACAGCCAACTGCTCCTTGCTTTGTTGTTTCTGGCAATCTTGCTGGGGAAGTGAGGATCACTATAAACTTCAACTATTTATTTTACATTACCAAGGCCACTAAGTACCATCATCAAACAGTATTAACAGTATGCCTCAATAGTACTATTGCTTCCACAACTACGACACTGTTCCTTCTCACTAGAAAAGTGTTGCAGCCTTTACCCCACCAACATGTTGTCAACATCCTCATATTCGCTGCTGCAGCGTTGTTATTTAAGCCATCGCTGCAACAACTATAACTCACTGAGGTTGTTACTTTTGTGACTACTAAATTGTTCTTCCTATTCTATCCCAACCCCCAACCCCCCAAAGAAGTTGCCACTTTCCTCACTCTGCTTTTGCTTGCACTGTTATCTTCTTTGCCATCACAGCATAAACTGTCATGGCACTTGTTGTCACTGTTGAGGCCTGTGTATCATTATGATTTTCGCATTGTTAGTGGTAACATCATTCTTTCCCCTAGAGACTAGAATGTCATAAACTATTTAATATTTTTTATTTTAAGTAATTAGAAATGATGTTTCTCATTGTGGTTCTTGTTTGTGCAGAATTTGATGGAGCCTGATGGCGTTCATGATACTTTGGCAAGCAATTCACCTAAATGTGAAGGTGTGTTTTTGTTATGAATCATTTCGTATGTTTTTTTCTTGTGCTTGTCAAAATGAATTACTTTTCTTTCCTATGGCTAGATTTATATTTTCTTTCTAAGTTTCAGGCCTTGTTTGTTTACAAATGTTGCATGATTGTTTAGTCTGTTGCCAATCATATATGTTTGATATTGTTTTTCAGAGCCGTAATTGGTGTGGGAACATTGTCGAAGAATAAAATTTCATTTCATTTTCATCAAAACAGTTGAAATGTTTTTGTTTTCAACCAAACTGACACGAAATATTAGTGGAAAATTAAAAATTTCACTGTTTCCATTGCAAAATTTACATAAACACTACAAAATCTCGAAAAAAAAAGGGTTTCTTTTTCTCTTATTTATTATTGAAAAGAGATTTCAGAACAAAGATAACGGGGGTGTTTGGTAGGGCTTTTTTTAGCCAACTTATGGCTTCTGGCTTTTAAATAGTTATTTTGAACTGTTTGGTTAAACTTATTTCAAACAACTTCTGATTCTAACAACTTATTTTAAGTGAAAAAAACTGATTCTGAGAAGCTGCTCACCCCTTGCTTCTGATTATCAGCTTCTGCTGTGGACATATTAATTCACGGTTATACTCTTAGATTTTTTTATTTTTTATTTTTTTAAAAATAGAAAAAGACACAAATGGACTATAAAATATTATTATTATTTTTTTATGAGAAATGTAGACAAATAATGAATAATAAAAAATAAAAGTTAATTAAAAAAGCTACTTCACAGCTTATTTAACAAACACTACTCAGCAACTTAAATCTATAATCCAACAGCTATACCAAACAGATTAACAGCTTCTGATTAAAGTCATAATCTATAATCTGTTAAGCTATAATCTATAATCTATTTTAACAGCTACACCAAACAGCACCAACATCTCAAATTTTGATTGAACATATGAAAAAGGAGGTAGAAAGAAAAGAAAAAGATGACATGTTTGAACGAGTATGCTGTGATGAAAAGACATGTTTGAGAAGTACCTTATTACTTTTGAAATCTAGCCTTTTGTATTTTTTACATTCAGTGACAAACTCCACTTCAACCATTCATATATTTTTACTAGTCACAAAGTTTTACTGTGGTTCAAAATTTTAAAATTTCATCCAACTTGTATAACTTCTTTTGTTTTTTCAAATCTTTTGAATGATTGATTCTGGCATTTTCTTGTTGATCTTCTTATTATTGTTGAGTTCCCGTATATTATTGTAGTTATGTCACTATTGCTATGGGTGGTGAAACCTGAGTAACCTAATCTGCCCCCTGGGGGTGGCGGATGATTAACTCGGAGTGAAAACAGGCTATATTCGTGATATAGTTTGAATTCGCTGATCCATGGTTTAAGTTCTTGACTTCAATCACAGAATGACACATGTACATTTATGAACTACGTTTATTTGATCTTTCCAAAAGGCAAATGCATAAAAAGTTCAACAGAAACAAGCATGTCTCGAACCCAATTCTCCTCTATGATCTCTGCAATGTGCTGCCGCTGAGCCAACACTCATTTGAAAGAAAGCTATTCTGTAATAATATTATAAACACTTCATAGAAAAATCATGTAATACAAACATTAATTTTAAAATTCATATAATATAGATACTTATATAGCATTTAAAAAAAAAATTGGTAAATACTTTAGTAATAAAATGCCGTATTTATGTTAAAATATTAAAATATAATTGAAGTTATATAATATGGACGCTCTTGAGGTGCTCTCAACTCTATGATTTTGAAAATTGACAACTGCGTGCTCTTGCTCTTGCTCCTGCTCCTGCTCCTGCTCCTGCTCGACGATTGGTGACTTGGGGTGAAACTGCATTGAGTGATGTACTTGAATATGGTTCAGTTTTGAATTATTTGCTCAAGCTAAGGACGAAAGGTCAGAAATTAAAGATAGCAGGCGGGGGAGTTAGTGTTCTTATGCTCAGAGACTTCTAGATATTGAACAAGCAATTGCATGGCCCAGTGTGTAATGATTGTCAAGAGAGAAATTTGTCACTAGAACTTGCTCTTCAATAAAAATAATAATAATAATCTGGTTACTCAGAACTTAATGTTAGTGATCTGCTTCTTTTTTATTTATTTATTTATTCTTTCTTGACCATAAGAAGAAAGAAAAATTATGTTTTGATCTTTATTGTGTTTGCATTTTGCACTTCTAGTTTTGATACTCATACCATATTTTGGACTGGTGATTCAGTATAACCTTTTAACTGCTATCTTTGTGAAGGTGGCCAAGCACAGGTGGCTGCGATCTCTCAGAATGTGACACCAAATTCAGACCCTGAAAATACTATATGCTCGGTTGTTAAGAATGATATCCCTGATCTAATGTAATGTTTACTGTAAAAATATTCTTAATAAGGTGCCTGTTTGATGCTGCTAAGGAGCATCTGTCTTATTTCACCAATTCATATAAATTTCAACATTGGTGTATTGCAGAAAAGCTGAGGCAGTGTGTACTTACATTCACCCACTTATCCGTGACAAAATGATGAAAATGAAGAATGTGGTGCTTTCAAATAATGCAAATTATGAGTTTGATGGTAAAATCTTATCTGATGCTTGTATGTTACTTCTGTTGTGGTCGTGTAGTCACCTACTTTTCTTGGCAGGTTCAAGGGACCATGAAATCTCTGCTATGGAGGCATCTTCCAGTTCTGGCATATGTTGTAATCAGCATATTGAACATTTAAATTCCAGTGACATGATCTCTAAATTTGATGAAGCAAAGTTCGAACAGTTGGTTAAGGCCAGGAATATTGGTGTTCTGGAAATGTCTCCAGAAAATGAGGTGGAAGGGGAACTTATTTTTCACCAGCATAGGCTACTCTGCAATGTGGCTGCAAGAAAGCACTTAAGTGGTCTCTGCTTTGCCCCCTTTTGCACTTTTGGCATTCTTTTTACTTCATTCCTTTGGGAAGCATGTGATTTGGTGATTGCCCTAGTTTATAGAAATTGTATTTCCCTTGTGATGTATATCACATGGACAACTTACAATGTGGTGTATTGTCCACACAGATGATTTAATTTGCAAGGTTGTGAAGAGTCTACCTGAGGAGATTGATACCATTGGTAAGCGAAAATGGGATGCTGTACTTGTCAACCAGTATCTTTCTGAGCTTAGAGAAGCAAAAAAACAGGGACGAAAAGAGAGAAGGCACAAGGAAGCCCAGGCTGTGCTAGCTGCTGCAACTGCTGCTGCTGCAGCTTCTTTGAGGATCTCGTCATTCAGGAAAGACACGCTCGATGAATCTGCTCACCCAGAGGTTGTATTTCCCGTCCCTTGTAAATTAACTTGATTTCACTTGCTATTTTGTTGTTTAGGAAGCTGAGTTAATATTATCATCTTATTTGTTGTCATCATTGTTGGTTGTCGTCATCATCATTGGCTTCATTGTTTATTTTCTCTGTGCAGAACCTGTTGAAAATGAACACTTCGACTGGAAGGGTTGGGCTCTATTCTCAGCAGATGCCACGGGCGAAGGAGACACTTTCAAAGTTGGCTCTTCCTCGTGGTTCATCGGGAATGAACTCTGATTTTGTTCAATCAATCTCAGATTTTTGTAAAGAACATCCCAGAACATGTGATATCTGCAGACGTTCAGAGACAATTTTGAATCCGATCTTAGTGTGTTCAAGTTGCAAGGTTTTCTATCCTAAACTGGAAAACTGTTGAAACCTTATTGATATTTTATCGAGTTTTGACAAATTCTTTGCTCTAGCAGGTTGCAATTCATTTGGATTGCTATCGTAGTGTTAAAGATTCTACGGGTCCATGGAAATGTGAATTATGTGAGAATTTATTGTCATCTAGAAGCTCCGGAGCTCAAACTGTCAATTCATGGGAGAAGCCATATTTTGCTGCAGAATGTGGCTTATGTGGTGGCAGTGCTGGTGCTTTTAGAAAGTCAACTGATGGTCAATGGGTCCATGCCTTCTGTGCTGAGGTGAAACTCTCTTTTACTTTGTTGGTTATACTGCTTACAAATTTGTTGGAATCATTTTTGTTTGTTTACTTATTCTCGATGAATGCATTTCAACCCTTTTCTTTTCCATGTTGTAGTGGGTGTTAGAATCAACATTCAGAAGGGGACAAGTGCATCCCGTTGAAGGAATGGTATGTGGATGCATTTAGAGGATGGTTTAGAAGTGTATTTTTTTGTTATGCCTTGCATCTGCTTTTGACTGAAATAAATGTTTTCATTTTTGCATTGAATTGTATAAACTGTTTCTGTTTCCTTCAGGGTAAAACTCAAAGATTTCAATCGATACTTATATCTATCATTATTTGTCATTGAACAATGTCAGGAGTCGGTTGTGAAGGGGAGTGAAGTCTGTCATATCTGCCATCGCAAACAAGGAGTTTGCACGAAGGTGAAGATTGTTATAAGCTTATCTATTTTCTTTTCTCTTCTCCATGCTACCCCTCTTTTGAACTGGGAGTATATATTGGGATTATGGTGATTGTTGTATCAATTCAAGTTTCATTGTCTGCAGTGCAATTATGGCCACTGTCACAGGACATTTCATCCATCCTGTGCTAGAAGTGCTGGCTTTTACATGAATGCTAAGACAGTTGGTGGCAAGTTGCAACACAAGGCATATTGTGAAAAGCATAGTTTGGAGCAGAGAGCTAAGGTTGAACTTGATATGTTTGTGCAGTAAATATCACGTACTTTCATGGTTGGTTTGTTTCTTATCGTGTCTCATCTTTGCTAAATGGATTTTATACAGGCGGAGACTCAAAGACATGGAATTGAAGAATTGAAGAGTCTTAAGCAAACTAGGGTGAGTGAGGACGCTCTCTGATCATTCCTAGTTCAAGTTGCTATTTATATTGGCATATTACTTATTACTGGTATAATGGTTATATTTATCCTAATTGAATTTTGATAATATCTAATAACTGAAGGAAGGTTCATGAGTTTTCCAAAGAACTTCGGACATTATTCCATGGTTTTAAATAATAATGCCTTTATGTAACGAGATTTTAGTGGTCTGTTACTCTATGGGCTCCATTTAACAGTACTGGCACAATTTTTTTTTTTATTACTAATTATGTTGGGGTACATCTTTTTAGCTAGAGTTACAAAGTTGACACAAAAATTGATGCTGTATAATGCTAATTCTTTTACCAAAAGTATCCGAATGAAAAATTATTTTTGCAATTGTTTAAACTATTCCCATTATTTGGGCAAAATAAACATCCTAAAACAATCCAGTTTCCACACAATTTGTGTGTGCTGGTCACACTAATCTGAAGGAATATATGTGGTTTTTATTTGTTTTGCTTTTCTTATGTCTGGGTTGACCCTAACAAAATTTAAACCTGTTTGCACTCTTAATCAATAAAATTCTGTCCGAGCCCTACTTTGATACCTGTGAGAGTCAAGGCCTGTTTGGCACCCTATTTATATGATAGAAATATTTATATTCAGTTTAGTGATGAATATACCCAATCTAAGTTCATTATTCTCTTAATTGCGATGATTTACAGAAATGATATATTATACCTGGGGCTAAGAAGCACGGACACGGACACGCGACACGACACGAGATGTAAAAAAATTAAAAAAAAAATGGGACACTCTCCCATGCGTGTCGGACACGTGTCCACTGCGTGTCCGACGCGTGTCCGTGTCCGACACGTGTCTGACACTGGTACGGAGCCCTCGGAGAGGTGTCCGTGCTTCATAGACCTGGGGACTACTATGTTATTCAAATATGATAGTATATTGGTATGCATAGTAGGAGTCAAAAGGAAAGCGAAATTTGCATAAAAAAGAATTTGTAGCAGTGAATACTTTCTGAAATGACAGCATAACAGCATATTCTTCTATTTGTGGTCAAATTCGTGATCTCAATTAAATCACTTGATTGTATTGCAGTTGTTTCTGTGTTTAGATATATGATTTGCATTATCATGCCCTTGTGCGTGATCTTGTGCAGGTTGAATTGGAGAGGTTACGTCTGCTTTGTGAGAGAATTATCAAACGAGAGAAACTGAAGGTAAGCCTTCTTGGTATTTATTGATTTTTACACAGAAATGTGTTACTCTGAAGTGTGGGAAAAAAATTGAAGTGTCCAAAGATTGATACAAGCATTGTGGTTTAGAAATGCCAAGATTACCTATTTTGCTTTATTATGGTTGGAGGGTTACTTCCCCCCCCACCTTTCTCCCCTCCCATGGGCCGAATGGCATCACTCCAACATTCTCACTCCCATGGGCCGAATGGCATCACTCCAACATTCTCACAGGAGAAGAGTTTGGGGGTTTGAATCCCCCTCCCGTACTTTGTAATTTCATGATTTTCTTATTATATTTTAAAATATATATATATATATATATATATAATTGTGAATGATGGACCTTCATATTTTGAGTTTTGTGATATTTCCATTTTTCTTCTTTTAAGTGGCATGTGCCTTGTAGGAAGAATACAGGGAACACTAAGAAAGAAACTGTGTTATTTTAATAATATAGATTGTTCTATCAATGATAATAGTGTGCCGGATTTTCTAAATATTGCTCGTCTTTAAGATTATTTTGTTTAAGATGATTAAAAAATGAAGACTGATGTCAAAATATTTGTAGTAGCTTTGGATTCTCCACTCCTGGAGTCAGAAGAATGGTTGGGCTAGTCATACTATTCTGATTTCTAATTTTTTGTTGTTGAATATTGGACTTTATTGGTCAATATATTGTTTAGTAGACCATTCAACCAGCTAGTCCAAATTTGTACGGTCATGTGTTCGTGTCTGACCTTTTTCGTTCATATGATCTGTGTTGCATCTATGTGCCTTTCAGCTGCATTTTCTTTTTTCTTTTCTTTTCGTTTTAAAATTTTGTTATCTGCACGCCTAGGCATGTTTCTGGTGATAATGCCCTGGTGGCTGAAGTGGTCATCTGTGTTTTTTTTTTTTTGGTTTAAGAAAACAGAAAAGAAGGCAGCTCCAACTATATATATTTGAGTTTTCTGTATGGACCCTTCATAACCTTTGTGGGTGAGAGAGATTCTGAACATTTTTCTTTTCAATTTTGCAGCGTGACTTGGTTCTTTGCTCGCAAGACATACTTGTTTCGAATAGAGACTCCATTGCTTTGTCTGCACTTGTTCGTAGTCCTTTTTTCCCATCTGATGTTAGTTCAGAATCAGCTACAACCTCTCTTAAAGGGAATACGGACGATTGCAGATCAGGCAGTGAAGCAATCCAAAGATCAGATGACATAACTGTTGACAGCACAGTTTCGGGTGAACGCCCGGTTTCGGGTAAACGCCATATTAAGTTTCCTGTGTCAATGGATAATGACCAAAAGACAGATGACAGCTCTACATCGCAGCACCTTTTTCTTCAAAGACCTAGAGAGAGGGTATCATTTGGTGGAAAACAAATCCCACATAGGCCTTCATTTGTCGCATCTCAGAATCTTTCGGATGATGGGGAAAGGAGGTCAAAATTGAGAAAGGTATAAATTGTGTTACTTCTTTTATGATGTTGGTTCAATTGGAACTTTTTTTTTTTTCATTAAAAGATCGTATCTGAATACACAGTATACAGAAACATTTGAGAAGGAGCTTGTTATGACATCAGATCAAGCATCTGTGAAGAATCAGCGATTACCTAAAGGATTTGTTTATGTTCCAATTGGATGTCTTTCGAAGGAGAAAGAGACCATCCCCGATGCATATTCTGGCAAACCATTGGAACGTGATGGGTAAAACTAGGGTAAATCAGTTTGGGTTTTGATTACCCTGTTTGAAGCCATACCCTATTTGAGGCCGACAACTATCTATACCGGTTGTATGCTTTTCTGCCTGGATGGTGACATTTTCTGATTATGTAAAGAAAGAGAATGGCAGATACTCCCCCGAGATATAGTCCCAGCCAGAGGATCCTTTTTTTAAGGGTCATTCTAGTTTTTGGGGTAGGCAAGTTTTGGTATTGTCGTTGTACATTCATTGTGAGAGCAAAAACTGTACAGTGGGTTATGGTTTGTTGATGATGATGCTGTGTTCTTGTGAAAGAGCAAAGTGGAAGCTCTGCTTCTTGTACTTGTATACAGAGTTACAAGGTATTGCCTATTGTGCAGGCTCTGCAAAGGTTCGTGTATATATTCTTACAATGTCAACCCTCAAAAGCAGTTGTGGGCAAGAATTACATTTTGATGATAGGGCATTTTAAATTATTTGACAAAAAATGTTAGCATCTTTTTGCTCAGTTTTTATGTTGGTTGTTTTTGGTGGATTCACTGGCATTATGTAGGTGGATCCTAGTGTGACACAGCATATTCAGCTCATGCTATCCTGCATTTATTTGATTATATTTGTTTTGTTTTCTGCCCCAATATTTTGAATGAACCCTTCCTTAATTCCTGACCATGAAAACAAGATGAAGACTAGATGGAGAGTTTTTCCATATACATCCTACTCAGCTTTAGCTTTTGTAGATTTGGTTAGGATAAGCAGAAAGTTGAAAGAAATGAGAATTTCCATGTTTTCTTCTTTACAAGGATTGAGTCCCATTCATTGATCTTTTTTAAAATTAAAAGCAAAGAATAAAAAATAAAATTACAGCTGCACAGCTCCCTCTACTACTGAAAATTCCTTGTCTCCGTACACTGGAACACACAGAATCAATCATCTCATTATGGGACTATTTGGAGAGTGATTTTTTTACTATTCTTAAAAAAAAAAAACTATTTAGAGAATTAACTCACTTTTTAAACTATTTGAGAAGCTAACTTGTTTTTGAAATTTCATTTTTAAACTATTTGAAAAATTAACTTGTTTTTGAAATCGCATTTTGAAAATGCGATTTTGAAATTAAAATTACATTTTTAAAATGTAATTTCATCTTGAAATCGCATGTTGAACATGCGATTTTACCATGTCATTATAAATTGTATTTTCAACTTACGATTTCAAGGTGAAATTGCATGTTAAAAATGTCATTTCAATTTCAAAATCGCATTTTTAAAATACGATTTCAAAAGGTAGGTTAGTTTCTCAAATAGTTTGAAAAGTAGGTCAATTCTCTAAATAGTTTTTTTTTAGAATTTTTTTTAAAAAAAACCTCATTTGGAACACCCAAAAAAAAAAAATAGTTGTTTACTAGTACGTGCACAAAATATGAAAATAATGGAACCAAAAAAAAAAAAAAAAAAAATCATGCAATGGGTGATGGTTAAAAGAGAAGACTGACATTTTTGGCAGATGAGCTTCACGATATCATATACTACCCTACTCGTTGCGATAAATGAAACTAAATACACTTCAGTCAAATTTCTTGCTTTCTATTACGAGCAAAACAAACTTCCACTTTCAGGTGTACATTGATTCTTAAAACATTTTTAGCAGATGTCATTGCCCTCTTCAATGAACAGGTGATTTTCAAATATTGGCCGCACTAGCGAACCCAATTCAAATTAAGATTCAATACCATAGATTAACCCCAAACTAGTATATATATACATATATCAAACAAACATATTCCCATTTCAGTGGCTCAAATAAATGGAAATGCAACCCAACCAAGTTTTTCCAATCCAATTCTAGTCAGCACTGAAATGAGCTTTCAAAAAAATTGCAGGAGTAGGTTTCTTAAAAAAATGTTGCAACAGTAAATGACCCACTACATAGAGAGACCCATAATAAGCCAGGTTTGATAATTAAGAACCAATGCAAATGTTTATCATTCTCCATCCTAGGGCTTAGACCTGGTAATTCCATATATTGTTGGCACATAAATTTCAATCAAATTTATGTTAAAATTTCAAATACAGTCAATCAGTCAAAGACACGTAAAAAGCTTATGATACGAATGTTGCAAGTAATCACTTTCTAAAATGATCAATATGATCCGTTGAAATGCATAAATAAAACAATGTACGAATGTTGCAGGTAATCACTTTTTAAAATAATCAATATGATCCGCTGAAGTGCATAAATAAAGTAACGTCACATCTTAACGACGTTATTCAAGATACTCAAATGACACTTGGATCCTATGAAAGATGACACTTGTAGAGCCTACAGCACAGACACCACACAAGATGAAATCTAAAGGATCAATACGTTTAATCAGATATGATTATGCCTAAATTCAAACAGCATTATCATTCAATTTGAAATTCAAATTGAAGATGAGGCACCCTTATCACATCGATGACCCTCTATAAATATGAGGACCATTACACAAGAGAGGGGATTGAAAATCAAAAATCAAAGGTTAGAGAGAGAGAGAGAGAGAGAGAGAGAGAGATCATGAGTTAAAGAAGTCTTCAGAAGAAATAAGAGAAGAAACCCAGAGAACTCAAGAGCTTACGCTACAAATCCATAATGGCGATCAATAGGTAAAGGCTTCCTAGCCTAAAAATTGTACTTTGTATTCAACGGTTTAAAACCCATAACAATTTCAATAAAATATTTCTTTTCTTTAAATTATTTTTTGTTAATTTTTTGTTCTTCATTAATTAGAGGTTTTATTTAATTAAAAATGTATAATTAATGATCTGGAATACAGATCGGCAATAGAAACTTGCTATTCAAATAATCAACACTATTTAGTCCAAAAACTAAACGGTGGACATATGTAACATGGATTTTGAAATGTGCTGAAACACTTCATTTTCGAAATTTGTGTTTACAAATTCTGGCACGCCCAGTAGGACCCATTTCTTCTCACATCTTTTGAAGAACAAATATATATGTATACATATGTATTTGAAACTTACTGATGTATTCTTTTGTTATAGGAATGCTGCTGAAGCAACTGTCAAGAGGCTAACTTACACTCCAATGGTTCTGAAATCACGAAGGATGGAGATAGCACCTATCACCCGAGGGGCTCCGGAATGAATGCTCTTGGCTGTCCTAAAGGTAATAGGTGTCATGAAGAAGGTCACTCTTCTCTAGAAGCTGAAAATTTGAAAAAAAATTCTGAAGATTATGTGAAGGCGTCAAAGCAATACACAACGTTGAGGGCCATAGCCCGAACAAAGAGCTTTCTAATCTAAGCAAGGGAGCCTAATCAAGTTGCAATTACAACTTGCAGCTTCAGCGGCCGCAACACAAAATATTATGGCCCAGCTACTCACAAGGGTAAAAGACTTCGTTAAAATGGCGGAGTCTACCCAGATGAGGGCTTCTGCTGAAAACATGGCCATCATCAGGGTCATTGGAAGGAGGGTAATGACCCAAACTCTTGTTGATGGAAAAACAACAGCCTCTGTTGATGGAAAAACAAATGTGGCCTATGAACTAATAGTTCTGTTCAAGGTGCAAAGTTTGCCTATTCAAACCCCAATCACTTCTGAGGGGCCAAATCAAAAAAAGGAACACCCATTGGCCTAACGAGGTTTGAATCAACATCAATTGGTCCTAGTTATGGGCCATAAAAAAACTCTTTACGTTCCAAAAAATGCAAGGACTGTTTTGAAAATCCATGAGGAATTTACAAAAATGCAAATGGTAAGGTCTTGACCTCAAATGGCATAGTTTCGAAAAGACAAAGGCGAAGGAAGAATAAGGTCTTAAGGAAACATGCATAAAGAACCGTGGTGACAAATGTCATATGAATTGTTGAAAAGGCTCTCTCGAGAGATGAATGCCAAAAACAAATTGAAACTCCTATCTTCACACTAGGAAGAATTATGGAACCAGACTTGACTGGAAAGTCAAGCCTCTCAAAGGCCAACGACCCTTGGAAAATATTTCTACTTTAATCCAACTATCTATGGAAGAAGTAAGAAAAGGGCTTGTAACAAGGTCTATGGCCAATGAGGCTCAGAACAAAGTATCGCAGTCAGATGCTTCAAATGTAAGTAAGGCTGTGGGGATTGATAATCCTTTATACGAACAAGATGATTCTGTCTCATCTAACTCATTTTTTCAACGAATATTGAAAATGATAATTTGAGAGATGTCAACAAAGTCGTTGCAGTTATGATGATTGATGTTGAAAAATGAAGGCAAAAATTTGCAGGTCCAATAGGACCAACAGGGTCTCAAGGTAAAGTGATGACCCTAAAGAATAACTTAAAAGAAGAGAACATTAAATGGTTTCTATATTGGAGCAAATACAATAGTTGTAGGCCCAAATGAGAGGAACATGAAGTGCACCTGAACAAACGGCACAACCTGTGGTGGGGACATCCATAGGCATACAAAGCACATTGGCCCTAGGGGGCAATGGTCCTTGTTACTATGAGCTAACTAGTGGTAGTATGAATCCAATGCTTATGGCCATGATTGATGATATGGTAAAGAGACAAGTAAAGAAAGTCAAGGAGAAAGATGATGAGAACTTTCGAGTAATTACAAAACCTTACCCAGCATGGGTAGATGTCGTTCCATTTCCTTTTGGTTTTTCCCAACCAGATTTCAAAATGTTTAATGGGATAGGAGATCCAAGACAACATGTGGCTCACTTTCTTTCAAGATGTGGACCAATAGCCCAGAATGAGACCCTTTGCCTACGACTATTTGTCTAATCACTGGAAAGTTTTGCATTTACATGGTATGCTAACCTTCTTGAGGGATTAATCCCAAATTGGGATTCCATGGTGAAGGAGTTCCTTAAACAGTTCTACAACATGTAAAGGTAAGTCGGAGTACTAGAATTGATTGAAACCAAGCAACGTGACAATAAGCCTGTTATAGATTTCATTGTAGGGTGGCGAGCTTTGACATTTGCCTACCCTCAAAATTTCACGCAACTAGAGTTAATTTGGATGTGCCTTAACAACTTCTGACATGAGCTCTCTACGGCTCTTAGGGCTCAAACTTTTGAAGGGTTCAATGATCTATGCACTAATACTCATGATATGGAACTACATCTGGCTAAATGAATGAAGTCTAGGGCAGTTGAAAGGGTTGAGTCCTCAACTGCAGCTATAGTTGAAACTAGAAAGAATGGTCCTATTGTAGTTGGGGCTAAAAAGCCTAAGGAATTTAAAAGGTGACTATGAAAGAAAGGTTAGAGAAGAAATATTCTTTCACGAATAATTTGGTCGAAGACTTATTTGAAGATCTATTGGAGCAAAAGTTGATTGCTCTCCCTGAGGTGAAAAGACCATTTAAGGTAAGAAAAACGAACGATCCAAAGTATTGCTCCTACCATCGTTTCATTAGCCATCCGATAAAGGAGTGCTTTGTTCAAAAAGATATAATCCAGGAACTTCTGGACTCTAAGATTATTGAGCTCCATCCTCAAGAGAAAGCATTTGCTAACTTAATCACTGTCGACAATAATAATGAAGGTGAATGGATCGTTTATCAATCGAAAAGCATGAGAAAAAAACAAAACGCCACAGTGAAAGCT